AAAAATGTGTATTGAAATAAAACGGTGATTTTTTTTTATACGAGAAATTGTGTCCATGGTGGTAATGAAGTGTGTATGCAAACAGATTGCAAAAAATGTGAAAACTGTGGTGATACAGTCTGTTAACTAAGGCCTATTTTTGCAAAAATGTCTGGCAGGATAGCATACACAGATGCTGGCTACTGGAGTGCATTGAATCATGACCGTTTTTCAACGACTTAACCTGATAGCGTGAAACTCCCCTGACCGGAAAAGGGTTAACGTTACACGTTTATCGACAGCTAGGGTTGGCTTGTCTGCTTTCAGTGGAGTTCTCAGTTTTGCTGCTTCGTGCAAAATTAGACTGTGTGTCCCGGTGGTATTTCTGGTAAGAAATCATAATTATCATCCTCAGTTATCCGAGCCAGCGCCCGAACACTTGTATATCCGGCCGTCCTCAGTGTCGATACATACTTTAGGAGTTCAACATCAATGTCACTTAACCACAATTCCAGTTGACTTTCGCTTGAAGGACTGTTGCCGTAACTCGCCATGATGACATCGAGAAAAAAGTCTCGGACGACTGATTATAGAAATACGCGCTATAGTATTTGATTGGTTGAATTTGGAGGTCATGTCGGGTCAATGGGCGTAACTTCGTGACGTTGGAGGGCGTGGTTTACACTTATTTTTTTGGCGCGTCGACTTTTCGTTTGAAAAGTTGGATGACAGCCAGTGATTCGTTGCGTGACAGCCAATCGATTCATCCGGCCTGGCAGTTGTGCAGTAGGGGCGACTCAGAGGCTGAAAAAACAGTTCAGTGGTTTCAGCAGTAATAAAAATACATAGGGGGCGCTGTCTACAAACAGGTAAATAGGGTGTTGCACAATAATCGAATCGGAGAGCTGAACATAAGTATTACAACACACTCCATGTATTTTTTAAAAATAGAATACAATGTGTCTTAATGTGATGCGTCTAAAAAGATCACAAACAATTAGAGAAATTCCGGGGAGAAATGACACATGTCGTTGTCGAAAATGCGGTCGACTCACCATCAATTGTTCACCGGATAATGGCGGAAAAGACGGTCTTTTGTTGGGCGTCTCCTCCGTTTCCATGTCTTCCAGTTTCCTTTTTTCTTTTTTACCCGTTTTAGATGAACTGTCCTTGTCTTTGTGCGCACGGGACTGCATTTCGCCTTTCGATCTTTCGAGCACGTTTTTCTCTGCCATCTTGTCCTTTAGAATCCCTAACTCATGGGAAATGAAGAGGTATTTAAACTGATGAAGCTAAGTGGTTTCACAAACAACATGTCCGACGATAAGGTTGCGCTAAATGAAGTTCATTTTTATGGCCTGTCGTCGCAGAGTAATGTATATGGACTTACTTATATAACTTATCCCGATGGAAATAAAAAGGCTTTGGTGGCATCTGTGAGGGGTAAAATAGTCAGCATTGAGTACCAGACGGAAAAAGGAATCGCACTAACACCGACCGCCAAAGAGGTGCACTTTACTTATATACCAGGTACTATAAGTATTAGTTTGGGATCACTGTTTGTAAACTAGTGGCGGCCATGAGGGTTTGTGTTATGGGTTAAGACAATAAAAAAGTGTGCATAATGTAATTGAAGTGGGGGAAATGTGAATACAAAAATTGTCACCGTGGCAGGCAGATGTAAATAAAATAAATTCCTCCTTCCTGGTTACAAATAGATAACCTCTTATTGTTTTTATTCACTTTTTGATATAAAGCATATTACTGGAACTTGCTTTTTGTATTTTGTTGAGGTTTAATTATGTTTTCCTATGCTAATTACATATAAATTGTTATTATTATTTATAACAATAACTAAAAATATTAATGCACAGTTGCAGGGTATGCAAATTTTGTGTGAGAGATGAAGATCCCATTGAAATTTCATGAAAGGTTATAGAATTCATGTTTTCAAAGTTCATCAGAAAGGTTTAGTTGTGGAAAGAGAAATGTACTTGAAACTATTATCGTGTTCATATATGTTTTTTGTGTCCTTTTATGCCCTTGTAACATTTACAGGACTGTAATAATAATAACAACCTTTATTGATATCATACTATCCCCTCTGGGATCTAGATTAGAATACAATAAAGAACAATAAAATACATAAGGAATAATAATAATAATAGTAAAAAAAATTAGTAAAATAAATAGTAATACTGTGAAAATATTATTATATAAATATTTTTGGTGTTATTTTGAGGCAGCAGGTGAATTGCTTTTCATGAAGTTCTCTCTTTTAGTAAAACAGTCACTGATAAACTTGGCAATTGCTTGGACAGTTTTAGAATTTTTGTTATTGAGAAATGTTCTTCAAGATATTTTTTAAGTGTAAAATCAGTTTTCAGCTGTCTGTAGGTACGAAGTTTATTTTTGTGATTAGTGCCTTTATTGTCATTATGTATTGTTTCTGTGTAGTGTTTTTTAAACATATTTTTTAGTTGTAAAAGTTGTATTGTAAGAGTTAAACACATTATGCTGGCATATACTTAAATATGGTGGAGTTTGGTCTCATCAGCATTGGTGACCATTTGCAGAGGGCATTGTAAGTGCATTGGCAAAAGTCAATTGTATTTATGTTTATATTATTTTAAAGTAGATGTTTAGGTTATATTGACCTATATATGTTAAACTCAAAATATGCTGAGTGATTGGTCCCAACAAGTTTATATTTATAACATAATACAATTGTCAATGATTACTGATTGATTCAAATACTACACAAAAGACAGAAATATGTGATCAACCAAAAACATTGACTAGCTGTGAGTCAGTGCCGTTGTTCGTATTATCCTGTAGTCACTATATTTACCCCTCATAAAAAATCCTGGTGTGAAAGTAAGAATATTGAAATATCTTTTTAATTACCAGATGTAATTTGTACTGAAGTAAGTTTTTTTTAGTGCAATTTGCATTGAAGTAAGTTTTTCTAGTGAAATTTGCACTGAAGTAAGTTTTTCTAGTTAAATTTGCACTGAAGTAAATTTTTCTAGTGAAATTTGCACTGAAGTAAGTTTTTCTAGTTAAATTTGCACTGAAGTAAGTTTTCTTGTGAAATCTGCACTGAAGTAAGTTTTTCTA